GGGGGGGGGAGAGCGGGGAGCCTGCAGGTGCACATCGGTGTCCACCCGGAGGAACGAAAGGGTTGGGGAGATGCGCGACGCGACCGCCGCCGCTCCGGCGAGGTGTCGCCGCGCGGGCAAAATCCAATTAAAAAGGATTTAATTAAGTGGGCGCACTCACTGCCGCTGCACTCTACTACTGCGCGAGTCAGAAGGAAAGCATAACACGACGACGTGCACCGCGCGGTCACCAACCCGCCCGCCCGCCCGGCCCGCCGCGCTGCTCCCGCCTCACCCGCGGCACAGTGCGAGCACAATGGCGTGTCGCGGCGCGTGTCGCGAGGCACGTGTGCGGGCGGGGGCGTCGCGACACGGCGCCACCATTATGCGATCACCCCCAACAGTTTACCACAAGAAAAAAGCGAATTAGCTACATGTTGCTAGAAATTTACCTACGTAGCTAAGTAGCTAAAAAAAATAGCTATGTAGCTAAAAAAACATCTAAATAGCTAAAAATGGCTAAGTAGCTAAAAAATAGCAAGGTAGCTAGAAAATAGACACTAAGCTAAAAAAAGGTAGGTATGAGGCGAGAATATCGATGAGGCTAGAATAGCTATGTATCTAGCTAGAATAGCTATGTAGCTAGAATAGTGTGTAGCTAGAATAGATATGTAGCTAGAATCGCTATAAAGCTTAAAATAACTTTGTAGCTAAAAATTCTATAAATGCTAATTATTTTTTTGGAGTCGTGCCTTATTATTCCCCCGCATGAATGTCGTTGACTGCCGCTGCTCGCGCTGGCAGCTCACCTCGCTCTCTATAGTGGCGGTCGCGGGGAGTAGCGGGAGCAGACCAGAGGGCAAGAGGAGAGGGCCTCTTAACAATCTCGCTCACCATGTCGTCGCCGCGGCGCCTCCTCGCCATTGTCACCGCTGGGGGGCGCGCACCGCGGGTCGACATCAGCCATTGTCCTGGCCTCCTCCGCCGCCTCCTGCGCCGCACGCTGTCACGTGACGCGCGGGGGCCGGGAGAGGGAGGGGGAGGGGCAACAACACTTCCTATTTTCCGCTACGGACGGGACTGCCGAAAGCAGCATCAAGTAACACACACTACTGCAGCAGCATTGCAGCCGCAAGTCTCGTCTTGGTACTCTCCCCACCCGCCGACCCACGGTGCCGCGCCGCCCAACCTCAGCCACTCTTGTGGTAAAGTGTTTTCTTGATTGGTGTTTTACACACTTAAAGTTCTAAGCGTTTAAACGCTTGCAAAAGGTCGCCCCCCGTCCCCTCCTCCGCTGCTGTAAGCCCGGCAACAACCAAAGCGCTCTAGGGAAGCCTCATAAGCTGCGGCCTGTCACCTCCTCCACCCTCTCCATTCAGTATTTTGAGCGCGGTGACTAACTCTCGGCTCCGGCCCCACTTTCTCCACCCGTCCCCGCCGTGGCCCTCCTCTGCCCCCGACCTGCCCGACCCCCCGGCGCATCATTTTATCATGTTCCCTTTTGGCGCGAGCGGGGCGTATTAATTAAACAACAAAACGGCGGCGGGGCGGGGCGGGCAACATCGGGGGCGACGACTTTTCACCAGAAGCAACAGGCTGACCGGTAGGCTGGCCGGCCAGGTCCACGCCCGCCCCGCCCTGCCCCGACACGGGCCGGCGGCGACGGCAGCC